ACATTTTGCTATATGTAATTTTATATTGTTTGAATTTTTCATAACAAGTTATGTATTACTTATGAATTAAATACATATATTTTAAGTTATAAAGTCTCTTAACATGAGGTCATGATTCTTCACTCTTCTGTGCTGTGGGTTCACGACTGTTATCAGGGGACCCATGACAGGGTATAAGTAAAATAAGTTTCATTCCTTCCTGCTAAGTTAAAAACTATTTTTGTAAAAGGTGTCATTTTATTTTTAATTATAGTTTGAAGTACTGTTTCACTTCAGGTAGATTTGGGGTTGCATAGGTTGCAAAAATACATCACCAGGTAGCATGGAGTAGTCACTTTGCAAAGATAGAATGTCTAGATTATTTATTGAAGTTGTGTGTTTGTATGTAACGTATCTTTTAAGATTATCAATATTTATTAGTTTATTTTGAGTCTTATTGGAGTTGGACAATGTCAACATAAAGAACATACTACTGAGCTTTTATTATTTCCCTGATCATTGAGCAAAATACAATATAAAAGCTAGGCTACTTTTTGTATGAGGGTCTTCTTGCTAACAACATGTCATCAAAGCCAAAAGTGCTTAACTCTGTCCATCCTAAAAATTTGTCAAATAGGATAGATCTTGTTATTAAGAAGATTTCAAGATGATAGTTGTACTAAAACCCTTAACTGTGCCAATTCAAATGCATTATATTAAAAAATACTAAATTTATTGTATTGAAAAGTTAAATAATTTAAATACAATTAATGAGAACTTGCTACTATGTCCCTTGGAAATGTTCAAGTATTTTCTGTCTTAAAGTATTGGAATAAAACTGGAATTATGTCTCTTATAAATGACATCATCCATTATGAATTGCTCACATTTCTTCTAATATTTTGAAGAAAGGTATGAAATAATTTAGAATGCATCTTTTGTCTTTCAGTATGAATTCAAATGAAACAGATGGTTTCTCAGCTCCTAGTTTTTGTTTGCTATATCCTGGCTCGCACAATCAAAGAAAAAATTCATTTTTTCTGAGTTGTTTTTGGAAATCTCACAGGACTTTGAAATCTTCAAATGCTTCAAATCTTCAGTTTCTTTGTTAACAAAAATTGTGCTAGAAAAAGAAAAAATCTTGTTGAATTTACAAATGGAGCATCTGTGATGTTTTATGAGAGATCTGGCTTTCCTGCTTTTTTTAAAGAAAGAAGCAGCAGGTCCTTGCAAAGATGACTAATTGAACTTCCACATTTATCTGTATTTCCTCTGAAACCCCATTAAAACAAGGAAATAAACGGAATAAAGAATAAAAATGTCATTAACACACAGGAGGATGAAAGTAATAGGGAAAAAACAGCAACAGATGAGTGATAACATATTTAGGAAACTTAAAAATGAATGCACTTGTGAAAACTGACTTGGACAGAGATAGTGGAAACCTAAGTCAATGTTGGGGAATTCAAAAGGGAGAGAATAATTAATATTTTCAAATTTTTAGAAATGTAAGGCACCTGGGACTTCAGAAAGTAGAGGCCAGAAGAGATCTAAAAGGAGTATAATTTATTTAAACTTTGTAGGAAAAGTGGACCCTCTCTTCCTGATTTCCTTCCCATGCACTCGGGTTTGAGACTGCCCTTTTTACATTTTAAACTCAGAAGGAAGCAAGAGGTCAGAAGATGCTGGAGAGGCTCTTTCAAGAGCTTTAGGCATAGGGGTTCCAGGCACAACTGGTACTTGTCATGAGGCATCATACCAAGAAAATAAGAATGACAGGACCCCTTGCTGGCCCTAAAATGCTGAAAGGCAGACTTAAACTTTTTCCACTGAGCAGTAGACAAGAATACAGATGATAATATAGATAGATATAGAGATAGATTATACATGTAGATACAGGTATAGATAATATGGCTGTCCAGAGGTCCTCCAAATGCCAGAATCTATAGATCTTTTCTCTTAGGCAAGTTAGTTTCCATATATATATAATATATAATACATATATAAATACAATATTAATATGTAATATATATAATACATATATTATATATACACACACATATGCACATACATACACTCACATATATTTTTCATATACATATATACACACAGACATACTTATATATATATACATTGTTTTTTCCTGTTGTATGACATTTATATCTGTCTTAGATATATAGATATATATGTATCTGGAAAACTAACTTGCCTAAGAGAAAAGATCTACATTCTGGCACTTGGAGAACCTCTGAGCAGCCACATTACAGTTAAGACCATTACTCAATGAGCCATCTGCTACTAACTGAGCTCCAGGTAGATTTTAGTGCCTCATTCTTAAATATATTTAAAATTTTATGAAATATATTACATAATTATTACCTATATTTGTGTGTTTATATATATGTGTATACATGTTATATATAACTAATAGTTACACAAGAACTATAATAAACTAGCAAGCTTAATCATGAACAAGAATTATACATTTATAACATGTAAACTCTGAATATTAATTTAACCCCAAATGTTTGTATAATTCATGAATGTCACTTAAAAGTTGACACAGTTCTCACTTTGGGAGGCTGAGGCGGGAAGATCACGAGGTCAGGAGATGGAGACCATCCCGGCCAACATGGTGAAACCCCGTCTCTACAAAAAATACAAAAATTAACTGGGCATGTTGGCGCATGCCTGTAATACCAGCTACTCGGGAGACTGAGGCAGGAGAATCGCTTGAACAAGGGAGGCAGAGGTTGCAGTGAACCAAGATCACACCACTGCACTCCAGCCTGATGACAGAGCAAGACTCCATCTCAAAAAAAAAAAAAAAAAAAGAAAAAAAAAAAGTTCACACAGTTCTATAAAACATATGAAAAACAGTTGTACTTTTGCCCTGCCCATCCTTACCCCCAGTTCTGGCTTGTCAGAGAGGTAACCTTTGTTTAGTTATTTGTCTACCACTCACATTCACATACTTAAGTTGCTGTAATATCATGCTTGAATTTTAAAATATTTGAAATTGTCTATTAAGTCTCATAAAGGAAAAACAAGAGTTGATTTCCCTGATATGATACTCCATGAACATTTAACTTTCTACCATTGATTTGGGAACCCACTACTTTTATAGCAAGCTGTAAGCAAGCCTTCTCTTTGTCCAAGTGAAAGATATTCTCATCTCTCAAAATTATCAGCTACATAAACAACCCTGGAAAATGGCTCAGATAAAAGAATGATCAGAGCTTTGTAGTCTTGGTATACAAGCTAGAGGAGTTATAGGAGCACAAGAGGATCAAGGAGAAATATATCTCCCAGCCCAGATCGAGGGTCTGCTATTGACTAGCTGTGATTTGGGTTAAGTCTCTTTACTTCTAAAAGGCTCATTTCTTCTTAGATACATGGCAGTGGCAATACTAATTACCTTGAGCCTGAAATAATGTATTAAAATACATTAAATAAAGCACCCAGCATAGTGCCAGACATACAATGGGCACTAAAGTTGTTATTTTTACCTTTTAAGAAAAGTATGCATTCTGTTTTTTCCAGAATCCATAAACCAATACAGTATGGACTCTTAAGTTAACATGTCTTGGCCTCAATTTTTTCACTTATAAAATGAAGATGGTAATATCTTTACCACAGAAAAATGGAATCACATCATAGGCAGTTAAATATGATATACTTTCTTACTTTACTAATGTTACTAACAAACCCAAATTTTCTACTCATAGTACAGAGGCATTCTTGCATTAAAAATCAAATCATGGGAAGAAAATTTACGTTAAAGATGCTATGCACAGCAACTTGACAAAGATCATGATATAATTTTAATTTTTATTTAAGCTAAATAGAGTAACTGTGAAATTTGTGAAAATAACTGAAGTTTACTTGTATGATAATAATGTATTTTTTGACATTGACAGCCATTAATTTTTAAATAAGAAAGCAAACTTTTTTTGACAGTTGCTTTTTTAAGTGCTATTTATTCAAGGGAAATCAATTTACAATGCTATAAAATACATGTCATCAGAAGAATTTGGCATACATGTAACTATGTATGTTTTTCTGAAGTGGTCCATAGCTTCATAAAGAAACCATCAACAATACTGTGATTGCTTTGGTGATGGGTTGTTAGTTAACGATGGTCTCTACCATCAGATGACAATTAAGCTCCAGAAGTAGGTTACAGAAGCTGATTCTAATATCCCTTCTAGTGCTCCAGCAATCTAATCTCTCCTAAGAATGATTTACTGCTTACAAAATCATTCATAATGATATACCAAATTATTCAAATATATCAAATCGCTGGGGATATCCTTATATTTTCTATAGTTTAACTACATTTCTCTGATTTCTTTTGGAAGAACTATTTATGCAGGTTTTTATAAAAATTTTTATACATGTTTTACTTTAAATTTAATAACTGATATGTGCATGCAATGTATAATTTCTTGTATTATAAGAAATACAAAATTTAAGATGTCATATTAATTACAGAACCCATTTTCATGAAAATGCTTCAATGCTTTTGAGAGGCAGTATACTTAAAGGTTAAAAGCATGAAATCTAGAACTAGAACCCCAGGGCTGCAAATTCAGCTGTAGCAATTTTTGCTGTGTAAATGTCAGGTGAGTTACTTAACCTCTAAGTTTCCTCATCTTTAAAACAAGGTAATATCATTTACCTATTCTTGGAAATTTGTAGTGTGGAGTAAATGAGTTAACATACATAAAGTGCTTAAAATACTATCTACTAAACAGTAAACATTGTCTAATAGATGTGTTATCTAATATGATATTACAGATAATATAGATTAAAACTGATTAAATTGCTAATTGAGTTCATTGTTTTTATGACACTAAATAGAGAAATATTAGGATCTAATAAAAATACTCATTTATATACAAAGTCTATAATAGAATCAGCAAACATTTTTTAATTCAAAAATGTTTTGTGGTTGAGATAGACACATTAAACAATGCTTGTTCAAAAATGTGCAATAATTGAATTTTAATGAGGTCAATTGTTTGTCACAGATTATTATCAGCTTTTTAAACATTACTGTTTCACAAAGTACTAATGTTAAAAGTCTTTCCCAAGACTTCTTAAAGGAAAAGAAGAAACGCCATATCCTGTTATGTATCTTGTCTCAGAAAGAGAACTTAGTGTCCCTCTTACACAAGTAAACATTCATTGCCAAAACAGTAGAATGTGATTAATTGCCTCTTGATTTAGTTTTCTTTTGATGTGGTCAAGACATATCTTTATACGTAGTGTTTTGATAAAGAAATTCAGTATCATACCCACCAAGTTGACACATGTTTTTCAGTATGCTGTGAAAGGAGCAATTGTGTTGTACCTTAAACAAAAAGAAAGAAAAGTCGATGAATAATTTTTTTTCAGGATATGATTTATGACAGAAGTCCTACAAGCTGTGTTTTTCTTTGCCAAATAATTCCTTTCAAGTGCTATTTTTTTAGAATTATGTAATGTCTCTTTTTTTATGCCAGAAGAATAGCCAGGATATGAATTTGACATCACATGCATGGTGAGAGCATGGAAAAGATTCTGAGAATGCTATTTACTTCCAAACAAAAGGTCACAGAATTAATTTTGCAAGTCAGCGTTTGAAACTGGCTGTCTGAGAGCCTTGGATATACGGAAAATTGATGTGTGTACCTTCAAAATTTATGTGTGCATACACTTCTAATAAGCCCTTTCACAAGGCAAAGAACACTGTGTCTACCTAATTTTACAATTGCCTTTTTAAGAGAGAACTTTGTAAATTTACACAATCATACTTAACCTAGCTGAGCCAGGAGAAAAATCCCTTTTGAATATTGAACTCTATGAATTATTCTAGTGTATTATGGACTCTGACTCAAATGAATTAGCAGATTATCCTCCTAAGACTCTTAAAAATTCAGCAGCTTCACTGTCTGTCCATTTATGTGTCCCAAATTATGTTAATTGGAACTAGCTCACCAAGCATACTCTCTGTAGAATATACATCATTCTAACTTTATGTCTATGGTCTACATAAAAGTGTCAGCTTGAGGAATGTGGTTGTATTTAGTAGAGCTGCAGGCTATTTTTTGTTAAAGCTTAAACAGTTCTTTTTTCTTCCTTTCTTCTTTCTTTTTCCTTCCTTCCTTCCTTCTTCTTTCTTTCCTCCCTTCTTTCTTTCTTTGTTTCTTTCCTTCTTTTTTCTTCTTTCTTTCTTTTTCTTTCTTTCCCTCTCTGTCTTTCTCTCTCTCCCTCCCTCCTTCCTTCCCTCCCTTCCTTCCTTTTCCTTCCTCCCTTCCTTCCTGCCTGCCTTCCTTTCTTTTTTGTTTTCGTTAAGAGACAAAGTCTTGCTCTGTCACCCAGACTAGAGTTCAACAGTGTGATCCTAGCTCACTGCAGCCTCGACCTCCTGGGCTCAAGTCATACTCTTTCCTCAGCTTCCTGAGTAGCCAGGATTACAGGTGCACATGCCACACCTGGCTAATTTAAAATATATATATTTTTTTGTGGGCTCAAGCGAACCTCCTGTCTTAGCCTCCCAAAGCTCTGGAATTACAGGCGTAAGACACCACACCTGGCTAAATAGTTCTTAATATGTAATTTAATTTAGTCATCTTTGTGCCCACACTATAGAATTTGGGGGATGAGTAAATGAAGGGATCTAGGAGTGGTTGAACATACTAATAATCGCTAATAACCACTGTTTGTTGAGTGTTTGCTATGACTTAAGCACTTGTCTAAGCACTTATGTGTGTTAACTCATGTACTGCTCATAGCAACTCTCTGGAGTACATACTATTGTTATCTTCATTTTAAAGATGAGAAAACTGCAAAATAGGGGATTTGAAGTAACCTGCCTGGGGTCAGGAAGTTTACATAAGCTAATCCACCTAGGGTGCTCATGAATACAATGAATTTCAATGGGAATATTCTCAATACAAGAGGCTTGCTGAAGAGTTCTCAGAAAAGAACTTCATTTGAATAAACTTGAGTGGATCCCACCATCTCTTTCTCAGGTCTAGGAACTACAAAAACTACCCTGAAGAGATCTGGGTAGAATGCTTTTCCAGCAAAAAGTATTCAAAGGCGATGAATTTTCTGGAATATCAACATACTAATTCTCTCTGGAAGTTGGAGGAGAGCCTTTCCAATGAGCAGAATACTGGTATACAGCATCTAGGTTATCCTTTGTGTGAAGCCAAATCAGAAGTTTGTTTGATGAGCATAGAATCAGATCATGAATATTCTAAAGGGCTATTTCCTGAACCTAATGATTCCCTTATCCCACACTAGGGAACGTGAGGCTGAACTTTTCAAGTCCTCCAGATTCACTTTACTAAATACACTGCTGGATGTTCACTGACAACGTCAGGGTCGTTAGAATGATAACTGAAAATTACATATGATTGCTCCTATCCCCGATGCTTTTCCACGTTTAGAACTCCAATGCCTCTCGAATATTGCATGTGATTTGCAAGAAAGGTACCTTTTGACATTTGGCATTAATTTTATAGGATCCACTCCCAAATTTCTCTTTTGAGGGTGTTGTCTTGGAATACAGACATTTTCTAGACATCCACAGCCCTTCTAACTGAACAAATAAACGCATAGATATATAAACATGACAGAATGTTTATATTTAGGTTGGTGCAAAAGTAATTGCTGTATTGCCAGCACTTTTCATGACAAAACCCACGATTACTTTTGCACCAACCTAAGATATGCAGCTATCCAACCCCCAGTCCACCAAAGCCAGATTTGTGTATAAGGGCATAGCTATTTTATAGTAAGTAAGATACATAAGTTGGAGAAATTTTTACTTAAATCTGAGTTAGTCATTACCAAAGCAACACTGTTTCTCCTGTACAATAGAATATTAATGTAATGTCATAAATTTCCTTTAAAAATAATTACTTTCACTTTCAGATTAACATTAACACTTTCCTGTCCAATGGATCTCAAGAATTTTCCCATGGATGTACAAACATGTATAATGCAACTGGAAAGCTGTGAGTATGAACCACTTACTTTTTAAAATACTTTTACAGTATAGTAGATACAAACTTTGAATGCCTAAGATGGCTAATTTATTTTGTAATCATTTTGGTCACATATTTACTGAATAGGCATATAACCGTTCACTAGGTGCTGAAAATAATGATACCTACCAATACATGCACTCTACACTATGAGAAAGAAACAAATTGAGGATCTAGAAATAACAGATTTTTAAAGCTTGAAGTTTAGATACATGTTTCCATACACATCATCAGAAGTGAAAAGGATGGCAATCATTAAAAACAAACTATCATTTATTGGGAGCCTCTTATCAACCAAGTGTCTATATATATTTTTCTTATACTGACAACAAAGATATTGTTATCCCTATGTTTTCAAATGTGAAAATGGTCATATTGAATGATTGAATATTTGGCTCCAATTCACAAAGGTGACAATGACAAACTGCCTCCAAACTTATGCTGCTTCCGATAACCAATGTTTTTTATTTTAATGTCACTCTGCTGGGTATGTTATGTATGTTACCTCAGAAGACAAAATTTCTCACACTTTCTCACAGATTTATTAAACTTTCAGGTATTCCTCTAAATTTCTTCTTTCAAAGTAGACCCATATGCCTCACTGATTAATGTTAATACAGGTGAACATTTCACATCCTACCCTTTCTCTGATCTATGTAATCAGACCTAAATTAGTTGTTTACAGTGTTTAATCTCAGATAAAAATTAAGCAATATGCAATATTTTCTCTTATGACAGTATGTTATACGAGGGGGAAGAAAAGGACTGTTTGACACATTCCTTGAGGAAAATTTGAAGGCCGATCCTCAGACTCCAGGTGTCAAAGGCAAGGCTTGTAGTGTGATGGAGTTGTCACTAGATGGCGGACCAACTTTGTGGGGCAACGTGACTATTGCACCCCCTCTCCCACTTGGTTTTACTTAAGAAATGGAAATATGAATTTCTCTTATAATTCCTCCTCAGAAAATTTAAATTGATTATTTTTATAAATAGTTCTTAAATAATTAGCACACGTATGGATAAAGTATTCACGTAAATGAGAGGAAATAAAATAAATTAAAATTGGGGGAGCTACTTAGCAATCAATCTATGTGGGGAGAAGCGGCAGAGCTGATTTTGAAATTGAAGAAGGGCAATTTGAGGACAGGCTGATTGTATATCTTGGTTGAAAAATTAAGTATATTTAGCGCACAGAGTTTAAAAATGTGCACGACCCTCTAAGTGGCACCCAAATTACTAAGTCCAGGGGCGGGGCGTGGATATTAATCAATAGGTCTGAGAAATGGTTCAACATATAAGGGGCAAGAAAATTGTTTGGTCCTTGCTGTACCTCTTAAAGATTATTTTAGTTAAATGAACCAAGATTATTTAAGAAGTTTTCATAATTTTCCAGCAAAAAGAACAGAAAGTAGGATAAAGCACACTTATGTGGAAGGTAGAAACAGGAGAGGTTGATTCACAGTGGACGTGAAGTCAGAGACTTCCCGTGTGTCCGAGCGAAAAAGCTTAGATAAATGGGATCAGTTTAGAAGCACTGACGAAGAAAGGGAACAGGGGATGAGAAACAAATGTTGATGGGATAATTGATAAAATCCATCTTAATATGTTTGAGATCTGGGAGACTTAGGTCTAAAGCCAAAGAGGGAGCGAAAAGTGAAGATCAACTATTAAAAGCCATATACAGAGTGGTTCAAGGAATCAGATGAAATAGCTGAAGAGGAGAATGTAGAGAGGAAAACAAAACACAAACAAGAGCAGACCCTTAAGAAATGCCTACATTTAGAAGTTGTTGGAAAAAATTCCAGACAAAGGTAAGGATGGCAGATTAAAATCAACACTGTTCAACCACAAAAGAGAAAGGACTGTGAAGGAGCTCTGTGTAACAAAATCAAATGCTGCAAAGAAAGTTTTGTAAGGTGCTTGAAAAAAGCAATTGTTGCTGTTAACAAAGACAAATGTGATTAGAATAAGGATGGTCAAAGCTGGAATCTAAAAAGGTTTTGTTGTTTTTTTAGGTGAGTGATGAGGAAGTGGGAGCAGTGAGTGAAATCTTTTATTCCATGAATGTTACTTATTAAAGAAAGATGAGAAAAAGTACAGTGCCTGAGGGTTGGTTAGATCACTGGGCTTCTGTTCTGAGTAAGGAAAGCTTACTGGTGCTATTTTGCAGGGCACAAAAACTGACATAGTAAAACCTCTCGTGTGTCTGCCTTTCTCAGAACATTTCTCAACATAAGAAAAGAGAGTCTCTTTTCTTTTCCCCTTTATTTCTTAATTCCTCTATAAGAAATACGAGTGGGTTGTTCAAGGGGTTGTTTAATATTTCAGTCATTAAGCACTTCCTGCTCTTATTAGGAATTAATTTTAATTTAGCTCACCATAGAGACTTTGTTTATTAAACTCCTGCAGCAGATGCTAATGTCACTCAAATTTTTTTCTTAAAACATTTTTAGGACAATTACATATATATATACACACACACATATAATATATAATACATACATATATATTAAGAAATGCCTACATTTCTGTGTACATATGCATACACATGTATATATATATTCATACATACGAATCTACATATATGTGTGTATATATATGTTTTAAGAAAAATTTATATCTATTTTTTTCTTTCTCTTTAAATAGTGGCTAAAATGTCAAGATAAAAGATTGTAAATCAGTGGAACCCACTGGAAAGTAGGCAAAACATGTTTAAGCTACTGGAAAGCAAGAGCTGTAAGAATCCCAGGGTCCACCTTTGAATGAAATCTGACTGCAAAAAGGAAGAAAAGAAAATGTTCAATAATATTAAGACATGGGAAGCAGGCAAAAAGGAAACACAATTTAAAAGCAAACACTTTAATGGCTTGTCATGGTACAACTTCCTTAAATTCAGTAAAAGTTCAATAAGTATATGTCAATGGTCAAGACTGTTCCAAGTGGCCTGGAAAATATTCTTTCATTTAGGCATCAATTGAAAAATATTTATCAAATACCTGATATATTCCGCATATTATGTTGGGTGGTATAACAACAAATGAAGCAAAAATGTCTCTGCTTTCAAGAATTTCAGAGCCTACCTGAAATACAATGATATAAATGATATTTATGCCAATAGAATAATTCAATTAAAGATAATAAGCAAATGTTAATGGGATACTGTTAAAACAAAGGAGAAAGTGAATAAGAGAAGAACAAAATTAGCAATGAATAACTAACTTAGAAAAGACTATCTTGTCTAAACTATCAGTGATCCCATGCCCTCAAAGTACACATTTACGACTTATAATTGAAACCATAGATGATATAAAATTCCTAGTTAGAGGAAAAGAAATTACTGGGGAAGAGGCTTATGCAAGGAAAATCCAGGGTAAGAGAAGACTTGCATTAGAAATTGATTAGAAAAAAAATGTATGAGTTAAGAATAATATCAAAGAATAAAAATAGAATAAAAGGGTTAAATTCACTTAGAAAAAAAGAGATTCTCAAACTAGATGTTAACCAATATCAAGACCCAACACTATGTCGACAACTAGACACTTTCTTAGAAATCCACGCAAAAAATAATAATAATTTGGTAAAGAAAAATTTTAAAAATGTATATGTGAGAAATGTACCTTGAAAAAGTCCAGAATAATTTTGATCAGAAAAAAATTAATGGCAGAAAAAAATTATGAGGCACAAATACTTGAGTAGCATGCTGGTAAAAAATCAATATACAGTGGCTCACGCCTTTAATCCCAGCATTTTGGGAGGCCAAGGCAGGTGGATCACTTGAGGTCAGGTATTTGAGACCAGCCTAACCAATATGGTGAAACCCCATCTCTACTAAAAATACAAAACTTAGCCAGGCATGGTGGCCCTTGCCTGTAGTCCCAGCTACTCGGGTGGCTGAGGCTGGAGATTCGCTTGAACCCAAGTGGCAGAGGTTGCAGTGAGCCAAGATGGCACCACTGCATTCAGCCTGGGTGACAGAGTGAGACTCTTTCTTTAAAAAAAAAAAATTCCATATATAATTAGGAAAATGTAAGTATTTAACCATATAACTTCTAAATATATTAAGCAAAAGCAGGATGAACTGCATAAAAAACAGATAAATCAACAATTTACTGGATTATACAAGCACAGTATATTTGAACAAAACAAATCATAGAGATAATTCTTACTGTTTCTTTGTTTAATTTTGTTTTTAGCATATGGAAACATTTACAAAAATTGATTATGTTATACACCACCAAGGAAGTTTCAGTAACCTCCTATGAATCAACATGTTATAAAATTAGAAACCAATAACAATATAGAATTACTGTAAGTTACTACAAGTTCCCATACATTATTATATATTAATATACACTTGCATAACTGGAATGAAAAACATGCACTAAATGACTATTTGTTTAAAGGTGAAAATTAAGAAAAATGTGATGTTGTTACAATGAAAGCACAATATATCAAAATTTCTAGATACAACTAAGCCAGATTTTTTTTAGTAAAAACAATTTCACTAAGCATTCTATTCAAAAAGAACAAAACGACACAACAGAGTATCCAAAGAATCACAAAAACCCCTAAAACTGGTGTTTTGAAAAGTCTCAGAATCTAGACACGTCCCTGGAGAAATAATTTAAATTAAAAAATTAGGTTGATTGAATATAAAACATACAGAATGAAGAAATAGAAACAATCATAGTATGCCAGGTTAAAAGCAATGAAAGAAAATCCTGATCTATTCTATCTTTTTCAGTCATAGTTATGGAAAGGAAATTCAGCCAAAACCTTTATTTGAAAACAAGAAGGAAGCCTGGGGGAAAAGCATCCACATAAATAGCTAACTTTGTTATAAATTAATGAGAATTTCCAAGAGCAGAGATAATAATGATGGGAACAACAGAAAACATTTTGAAAACCTGTTCAAATATTTGCTATATAAAAAGAAGAATTATGCATAAAGATGATTTCCTCAAGTTTCCTCTCAATCAGGAGAACTGAATATTGCTATGTCTACATTAATCTGAAAAAAAGGCGGCGATTCATGGGAAAAGTGGGTCAAAGCTGATGTCTGTTTAATCATGCTGTGTTTTTTGTGAAAATACATGTTCCACTAAAAATTTACTTTGGGTTATGGGAAATTTTAGGATAGAGCTTGAATTAGGAATGTTTGTGCAAATATAGAGACATAACCTTAGAAATACTGCTTATTGAGACACGAATAAGCATGGAGACATGAAAATCAATGAGATTTCTAGAGATAGCACAGAAAACGACAACCAAAAGAGAGCCAGAGAAAGACAGCATCATCAAGTTTCAGAAAAATGGGGGATAGAGGAAGAAGAGAAACAGAGAAAGACAATATATTTCCTAGAGGCTATTTGGAAAATATGATTAATCTAGTTTATTCATGGAGGGTAGAGTCATTAAAGGTAAAAAAAAAATAGAAAATCAACATTATGTCTTCTTCAATATTTAGGTATAAAAATGTATTAGCTGCAACACAAGTGGTATTTATCATAGTGTTTCACTCCGCTGCCATTTAAAATAAAAATAAAATAACTACACTAAAGTTGAATCTTTACCGTTACAGTAATTTAGAAAGCTAACCCATCACTGAGAATTCCACTGAAGTCAAAGGAAAGAATGTGGCCCTGTTTATATGTTCCAAGTTCAGATGTTTCCCTTATCAAATTATAAAGGTCTCTCTGGGAATGTGCTTATTCCTCAAATCACAACAGAGTTTCATGCAACTGCTTGTATAACAGTCAGAAGTTCAACATACTATTTATTCCTCTGATCTAGAACATACTTAATTCAACTTCATTCTGGGATAAATATTGTAAATGTTTGCTTTTGGGTATGAAGAAAATTGTTACGTTCATTTATTTCTCTCTCTTTTTAATACTCATTTTTCACTCTCAAGGTCAGTAAGAAGACATAGGCCAGTTCCCATGACAATATGCATCTCCAGAATTCACATTTTATTCTCAAAATTCGTATTTTATTAGGAGAAACCTAAGAAAATAACAATAAAAATATCAACCCATATATGCCACACACAGAATTCTGCAATGGAGACTTGTTTTTCACTAACTGCTTTAAATTTGAGCCTCAATTTTTATGTTCAGTTCTTGATTGTAATAAATGAAACCAAGGAAAGTTCCTAGTGAAGATAAACTACTAAAGTGATCACTAACCTTCCTTCTCAGGATTAGATTGCATTACTTTACTGATTACTTATCAGATGCCATTACCTGAGTTATTTTAACCCGAATGAAATGCTAGCAACATGAGGTAATTTTCAACAGATACATTTTCATTTATATCACAAATACATTTTTACATAAAAGCAATTATAAATTATTTTATTTGACACAAAACAAATAACTAATATAGAAGAGAAGGGGCACAACTGACTATATTATGACCTAGACTATGTCCCTAAGGAATGTTTGGTGGAAGTTGGTGTACAGGACTAGAGGCAGGAAAAAAACTCAAGACTTAATTTTCAGTTTTTTATTTACGTTAAAAGGAAAATTCCTGTTTTTTTATTTGCCAGTTTAAAAAAAAAAAAAAAAAAAGCCATGAAGGATTTTTTTAATCATGTAACAATACTGGATAATGGTTTCCTAGAATCAGAATAACAATTAAGAGCCATTGATGACACATGATTCATAAACTATTGCTATTTCCCTAAAGGGTCTAATTCTGTAGTTCACATCTAAAGAGGAGTATGTTGCACTGCAGCCCTGGCAACAAGAGTGAAATTCCGTCTCAAAAAAAAAAAAAAAAAGAGGAATGTAGACAATAAAAGTGGAAAACCTCACCAATGCGTAAAAGTTAAAAAAAAAATTATTTAGATTTGAAAAGAAAATATAAGAAAATAACTAAGTGAAGAAGTACTGTTTGCCAAAAAGAACAGCCTAAATTTCTAAAATTACAGAGTAATTTTTAAGGGTCAACTTGAAAAAAAAAAACAAAACAAAACACTAGCAAAAGCTTTCAGAAACTTGAAATATACTTTAATAGTATTGTTGGATAGAAATATCTAAAGATAGAATACACTTTAATGGGGTTTTGGGATAGAAAATTCTAAAGAGAGATGAGAGGTTTTTATAATTTTAATTTCTCAGATTCATTTAAAAACATGTTTGACATTACTCAGATCACTTACTCTGGAGTTTATGCTAAATTAGCTAAGGCGAAAGATAAGATTTGGTGATGATTTTTCACAATTATTTTATAATAGTCTCTACTGTCATCCAAGCTCTTTCATAATTTAAAAGTTTGGATACTGTTCAAAATAATATTATGTTTTTTGTTTGCCTAGTGAGAAATACAGATGGTTCTTGTTTTCTGAGTATTTGTTGCTTAAACCTCTGCAGTTACAGTGTTAGCTAGAAAACAGAAGTCCTCCCAAGACAAAACTATACACTAATGAGCTCACTACTTACAAAATAAATCCCCACTTAAACATTAAATATTCCATCCTATGCAACACCAGTGGCCATTCTGTTCTAATCTGTCCACATCTTTCTAGGTTGAATTTTTACTGATCGTCAGGTATTCTAAGCATATTGACCACAGTCAATCATATGGTCAAATTATGCTTCGAGAAGTTAAGTGACTTTCGCGAGGTCACACAACTGTGAAGTGGACAGAGAAAACAATATGATTTAATAACTCACAAACTTTTCATACAACCATTGGTCATTTAAAAATCTATATGATGATTTCCAAATACTTATATATTGTAACTGTGGTATTCTTAAATTATCTCTGCAAGTTAAACATACCCAGTAATTTCATTTGTTTTCTCGTGTGAAAAGACTTAGAGTTCCCTCCTTTGCCTACTTCCTTTCTCCTAGACGTCTTTCCATGTATTAAAATTGGCCTAAATCGAGACTGCAGAGTAGCACTTCCCACTGGTGACAGTGCCAATCATTCTGTTACTATTGCAGTTTCAGATCACACATACATTAGAGATAGCTGCAAAACACTCTTAACTCAGAACACATCTACAGTCAGGTGAGTACTACAACTAAGTTCTATGTCCCCCATTCCATGTTTACTAAATTGGTTCACTTGG